GACACTAGTGTCTGGATATATCTCCTCCTGATAAAACTCCCTCTTTTCTTATGTCAAAACTATCAGTGCTTGCAAGCGTGTATTTTGCAAATAAAAATTGCTTGAAAATAGAGTAAGTGAGATAAATATTAAGAACGGCCGGTGACCTGCTTCAGTGTGGACTAGCGGATAAAAGAATCGCCGACGACCTAGCGACTGCATCTACGTTTGGCAAACATTCGTGAAAGCGCTTTTCTGTAATCTGGCATTCTGAAACAGCAAACTAGAAAATTCATAAAGGAATTGCTATACTGAAGAAGCTTAATAACATATAAAATTATCAGAGTTTTGTTTGAATTACACGAGATGCAGAAATTAAGAACAGCTGCTAAAACTTCAAAAGGCAACCATGACAGAACAAATATTGCGGTTATCAGTAGCAGCGTCCCATTTAAGTGAATATTCTTTGTTGTTTGAGCTTCATTGGGAATTCTAGAAACTTGCTTCCTCCAAATGATGCAATAGGAGATGCACGTTACCAACAAAGATGTTGACAAACTAATAATTATCCCTGAAAAGAACTGAAGGAAGGTTATAACGGAAAAAACTGAGAGCAAATAAGATAACGAAACTATAAGGGAGAAGATCCATGGGGTTGCTATGGCAATGGCATAGCTGCGTAAGGTGAGTTGTCGATGGCGAAGAGGGCGAGCAATTGCGTGTAGTCTTTCCAGGGAAATAGCCGTCAGGGTGAAGACCGAGCTTAAGCCCGCAAAGATATCCACGCGAATGTAAACTAAAGAAAGAATTCGATATCGTGAGTATTGAATGATAATGTAAAGTGGCATTGGGATTAATCCAACCAAGAGATCAGCGAAAGCCAAGCTAATTAACAAGAAATGAGGACGCTTTCGAAGCCTTCTCTTGAAAAGTATTGATATGGATAGAGCATTTCCAACGATGATTAGAAAGGACAACAGCCCAAAGCACAAACTCCAGAAGAGGTTCCAATTGTTGAAGTCCATTTGAAACGGTGTCTATTACCTGTAAAAGGAATAAGAAGATTTAGGCTGGATTTAGCCTTCCCAATCCTTTTGACGATGATTGTAGGAGCTGCGCTTTTGTTCGTTAGATTTTGATTTTAATATTTGGCTTCGGGGCCCGAAAAGTTCGGACTTACGAGAAACGCCCCGACCTGGGTTGCTCATTTACCGAACAGTGACTGGTAATCGAGCCAAGAATAAGAACTGGTCTAAAATACGCTCGATGTCATTCTTGAGTGAGTCATTTATTAAATAAGCAAAAAACATGTACAGTTGACAGTGAAAAAGAGTTTAGCAAGTCGTAGAGGGGAATCGCCGGCGTTAGGCGTTTAACTGGGATTGTTTAACTCGTCATTTTATTGTCTCTCACAACAAAATATGAAATATATATACATAACAAACCGAAATATTATGAATCAAAATGAAGCTGGAAAGAATATTTATGACAGCATTCTTTAATTTATGCAGCCCTAGGTTGTCATAAAAAGCTGCCGTTTATAAAGTGGCTGACAGATCATAGTCATCACTATAACAAATTCTACTAACCGCCGCAATAGTGTTCGACGGTAAAATACTCTTTTATTAACAAAACTCTGAATTATAAAAAGTTTGAAAGCTCATTTACAATGTGGATTAGGCTTATTTGGACATCAGCATCTGTATTCAAAGGCTCCACGCTGAGTCCAAACCCTTACCCGTTTATATACCATTTTTAATATACCTCTTTTGCATTACGTTCCATTAAGAAATCGGGCCAAACCCTATTCAGACCCTAGCATAAGGCTAATGACCTTGCCTTGGGGTAGTTAATTATTTCAATTATTAGCTCATGTTTGCAAGCAACTCTTTAAAGCAAAGTTTCAAGCTATTTTTCTGAACCGATGTACATGTTAACAATTGATTGTGAGAACGAAAAATAAAATCGTTTACTAAAATCCAACTAGTGGTGTATCATAAATGCTAAGTTCTGATTGGTTGAGCTACTACTAGGCCGCTATATGTCGTAGCCCACTAGTAGCGAAAGCGCCGGCTTTTTGGCGGCAAAAAAGGCTTAAAGTCTAGCTTTAACTAGCTAAACTTGTTTTGTCTCGATATTTTTGACCAATTAGTTAGATTTTACTAAAACAATTATTCCTCTCGCCCTCATGGCCTGTGAGTCAATAGCCCAATATCAAGAAATTTGCGTATATTTCACAATATATTTTGCAAATAACAATATATTTTTCTTTCTGGAAAAAATTTACTGTTTCAAAGAATTTTTTACTGTCAGTGTTAAAATGCCTAAAATTTAACTGTTTTATGTTACAAAGCTATAAAATAACGTGTTTAGTGTTAGCGAGGTTACTTAGCTAATTAATTAGTCATACGTCAAAAAATTATTCTTTTTCTCTTTAATTGAGCGAAATGTGCATTAATTCCCTTTTTTTTCTTTTAAGTTTACTTGCGCATATTCATTTGCTTACTGCTTTTCAGACTTAACGGCACTTTTAAATACCTTTTTAGGCCTGCGATACGTTAGCCGTAAAGTTTACGTCTTCAAAAGGCTTATTAACTTTCAGGAAATTAGCATAAATTGAAGCTTTCTGTGGAATTGTTAAATTTTTCTTGCTTACTGTTGGATTCAATCGATCACCTGTAGGATACCTAAAATGATGAAAATCGACAGTGGAAATTGACTCTTAACATTGTGAATCGAAGAGATGACCCCAGTACGACCACAATATATACGTAACTTCATTTCTGTTGAGTTGCTGTTTTTTTTCTCTTTTTTCGTCAGTATATTTATCTGGAAATGAGCCACATGATTAAAAAAGTCCAAAAAACAAATTTTTGTGTCCGATAAGCTTGAAAATTGTACCACGGAAGGAATAAAAACAAACTAAATGGGTGAGCGAGAAGAAGGGAAGGAGGAGAAAAGAAAAAAAGCAACTGTTGTACTTTTAGTTTTTGAAGGCAAAAAAAGCTGCTTAATTAACAAGGACTTTAGTGTTGAGCAGTAGCGTTTTCTAAATTCCAGCCAAATATATCTTGTAATTAAAAGAGCGTTCAAAAGATAGTAAATAGAAGCGCTTCTTTCATGCAGCTGATAGTTTTTTTTAAGAAAATTGTGTTCTAATGCTGGTTACTTGACGCGAGGAAAAAAACCTTAAACTATGGACGTTCTCTCACCAAGTTTCTGTGCCCCTTTGTAATTCTCAACAGGCTCAACTAAAGAAATCCCACGAAATGAAAGTACACCACTGATGATTGCAGGGTAATAAATGTCACTGACACTAAAACTGCGTACGTTTTATTATATCGATGTTGTCGCGATAATATACGGGAAGTCGTGCACAACACCTGTTACCTAATCTAAGACAAAAAATAATTACCCTAAGAAAATTAGTTATTAACCGCTCTGCGGACGTTTTTCCATTTTGGAAGTATTAAACTTCTAAATTATATCCAAACTGACGCTCTTTCCAGAGGCCCCTCGCTGAGTATTCCAATAAAATAGAAATGTAGTTCCGGCGAAAATAATTAGGAAGCTCAAGCAACGACGGCAGCGACTTCTTGCCTAGTCCCTAGGCCTCATTTTTCCACGCGGCCAAAGCGTATCGGATCATGTGGTCCATTCGAAGGGTACGTCACCGAAGTGAATTGACCGAGAGGGACTGGGGAAACGCCGTGCAGGGACTAGGCAAGGCGACTTCAACGATAACGGCAAAAAAGCAATGAGTTTAGATTGGCAAAACAACAAATTTGCACGTGCATCACGACTTTTTGTACATTTCTTTGCCGATGTGGAAATGCTTAATTTCAAGTTTTGTGGAGGATCGGAATTGCCAACATTTGACGAATTGAACGAGATGGAATAAGGGCGAAAAAGTTTGAAGTAGCGGGACTTCACTTTTTAAGTGTCGTTTTCGTAGCCGTCACTGTCGCCGTCGTCGTTGCTTCAATAAGGTCCCTAATATTTAGGTCGCAGGGAAGTGATAGGACCTCCTCTCTCTAGCCTCTTTGTGACACTAAGAGGCCTAAGACTGAGGAGGAGGAGGAGGAGGAGGAGGAGGAGGAAGAGAAGGAGAAGGAGGAGGAGAGATCAAGAATCTGACTTTATTTTTATATTTTTCCAATTAATTTGATCAATTTTAAGTAGATTATCCCGCCGTTTTTCTATTGGCTAAATGAATTAGATCGGTTTATTGGTTGTTTGGTTTTACAAAACAATTTGGATGCTTAACATAAAGCCCTATTAATTGTTATGACAAAAGATGACGGAGCCCCAAAGTAATCATGGTGCGCAAGTTTTATCTCCTGTCACCGTTTTCGCCCAAATTTCGTTGCATTGATTTGCCGTACAAAAGCAAGATAAGCTACTGTAGCTCTGTTATACTAAACACTAGTGATAGTTGACACTACAGCTGCCCCCGTTCTGTATATTGTCTGTCAATAGTATTCTTGCTCGTTGGGTAGCTCTTTGAAATATACCGATTCATAATGAAGATTTTCACACATATTCCATACAGTAGGTGAGATAAATACAGGAAACGCAAGGTTCCATGTACAGTTTCAGTTCGATTTACACAGCTTTGATCAAAACATTCTCAGTTTCGAGAATAGTTTATTCTAAACCATATGAAAAGATTTAATTAGAAGTTGAATTTTTCGCTATTTCTCTTTCACTTTTTACATTCAGTTCATTTTATTTGCCGGAAAGGAAGCCTTAGAAATTAAAAGGACGTTTGATCAATTCACACTTGTGCATTCTAGTCTTATTTTAAACTTTATAGCCGAAGAACATCTGTGAGCAGGGAATAAGTCTGCACAGAATTTGATTGTCGGCGAATTTCTGTAATCGTTCATCGTTCTGCTAGTGATAAGCTAGCCGTTGTTCACTCGTTTTGCTTGTTTGGGGCTGAGTCTCATTCCGGTCAAGGAGAGAGAAAGAGTGTCCGGCAAGGTTTCCAATGAAAGATTTGTGAACTCGTGTCTGGCAAACTCTGCAAGTGTTTATATATACCCAGCTATACGCACCTTATAACTTCTTCTGTGCTTAACGAGTGTCGTTAAAATTTTGGTCCATAACTTTCTCTGAAACAACTGCTCCACAGAATGTCACTGTTAACACGTAACGCAAAAGAGTATGACTGCACAATAAATGTCACAAAATCTACCTAAGCGGTCCCTTGGGGATGTTCTGTCTTTACGTCATCCTAACCATTTCGTGCTTGTGGGCGCAAACAATAGAAACGTCATCATTACCTACCGATTCCTGGCGGCCCCTGTTCAAGCAAATCGAGATTTTTTCTATATTGACTGTATAACTGTATATTTCAACTGTAAGTACTTTCCTTAATATACAAGCGAGTTACTAGAGTGCCTCCTCGGGATTTCGCCTTCTGGGCGAAATCCCTGCGGGGGCAACAATACAATGCAATGATTACAGTGGTCAATCAAGTGTCATCAGTATGATTTGATAACAAATTATTAGGCAGTAACTAAAGGAGGATTACACTGGGTTAAACCAGAACGACACTACTAGTGGTCCTTGACAATAACAGTCAGGCGTTCCTTGACCTGATAAGCGGAACTGGGTCCTATTACGCTTAAGCTAGCCTCAGCATTTAAAGGAAGATGGAAGCTCACTGTGTCCAATATGCGCAGCATCTGACATATTCTTAGCAGCACAGTCAAATCTCCCGAACGCGACCACCCAAAGTGCGTAGAAGACTCGTAGATAGAGTCGTCGCTTAGTAGAATTGCACCGCAGTGTATGTGGGATAGTATCCTGTTCTCACTAAGAGGCCTTTGCATCCTGTAAGTAGTGTAGGACTTTCATCAGCTAACTTACCATGCGCCAAGTGCAGTGGTTGCCTACAAGATGTTGAAAACAATTGAAAACAATAAAGCTTTAAGGCCAAAAAGTGGTCGCAGTCGCTTTTGAGAGGTGGATGTTTACGAAAGGTTTTGATTATGTTTGACCGGGAAAGTGCCTGTGTTTTGCCGGATACAGGTGGTCGCATATGGAAGGTGGTCGCACATGTAGGTTCGACTGTACTGACAACAACTTTTGATCAACAGCGATTAATTAAAAAGCCAACAATTAAAAATGCAATAAGTGTAAAACGTCGATGTGAAACAGCATGCATGATCACCGCGTGTACAGATCTTCAGCGAAACTGATGTCTTTCAGTGTCAGAAAGGTCAGACTCCAGCAGAAGGAGACAAGAGTAGAAAAGACAATACTGATACGATTTTTACCTGCGAATATACCTAGAAATTTCTAGAATAAACTAATTAATTTGAGAATTAACGTAATTTAAAACACCATACACAAAGAATAATAACTGAAAGTTCATACTCAGATAGCAATGTTTAATCATTAACGTTATTCCGTTAACATTTGACATCCAAGGGCAAGTTCGTTCTCTCATGCACGCTAACAATCCATGAAACCACGATAAAATTGAAATAAATTTCCAATGTGTATCTGACTTGTAAACTAGACTCAATACCAAGGGAAATACAAGTCCTCCTCAGTGCAAGCTGAACTTTTATGTTAATGCCAGACGACTAAGTGCTTAAAACATAAGTATCGTATTTTACAAATACAAATTGTTTGAAAATCAAGACACCTGCTTCAAGGTCGACCAGCGAATAAGAGACTATGGACGACTCTTTAACGACTGCATCTACATTTATGAAGCATTCTTGAAAGTGCTTTTCTGAAATGTGGCATTCTAAAACAATAAACTAGAAAATTCATAAAGGAATTGCTATACTGAAGGAACTTTACAACATATACTGTTACAAGAAAGATTTCACATGAAACACAGAAAGTGCTGACGATATTTAAAACGTGGAAAGGCAGCCACGAGAAAACAAATATTACAGATATCAATAGCAACGTGCTATTTAAGTTCAAATCCTTTCTTGCTTGAGTTTCATTCGGAATTATTCTAGAAGTTTGCTTCCTCCAAATGATGAAATAGGAAATGCACGTTACCAACAAAGATGTTGACAAACTAATAATTATCCCCGAAAAGAACTGAAGGTTGGTTATAACAGAAAAAACTGACAGCAAATAAGATAACGACACAATAAGGGAGAAAATCCATGGGGTTGCTATGGCAATCGCATAGCTGCGTGAGGTGAGTTGTCGATGGCGAAGAGGGCGAGAAATAGCGTGAAGTCTTTCCAGGGAAATAGCCGTCAGGGTGAAGACCGAGCTTAAGCCCGTAATCATATCCACGCACAGATAAACCCAATAAGCAGTATGTAGCAGTAAGTTTGCTTGGTTCATGATGTAAAGTGGCACTGGAATTAATCCAACCAAGAGATCAGCGAGAGCCAAGCTAATTAACAAGAAATGAGGACGCTTTCGAAGCCTTCTCTTGAAAAGTATTGATATGGATAGAGCATTTCCAACGATGATTAGAAAGGACAACAGCCCAAAGCACAAACTCCAGAAGAGGTTCCAATTATTGAAGTCCATTTGGCGAAAACTGTAAAAGGAATAAAAATATGAAGGCTCAATTTCCGTCGCTCCCATCGGGTCGGGGGTCCTTTCCTCGGAAGTTCCGGCAATTACCGGTCACCGATCACCGATAACATACCCATTGGTTACCAAACAAAATGGACTGCTTTTTTGTCTTTTGTTTGTTTGTTTGTTTTTCTTTTTAACTAGGACCCACGCTTTCATTATTCAGATTTTATTTTTAATATTTGGCTTCGGGCCGGCCCCTGGTGTAGGCTCATGTCTTAGCTTGTACAGCGAGAGAGAGCGAGGAGAAAGGAACGAAAAATGCAGCTGATGCATTTTTCGTTTTTCAAAGAAAAAAAAATAAACTTGGTGAACAACAACGACTTTTGGGTAGCCGCATTTTCTCCAGATTTTAAACGGTTTAAAAATCAAATACATATAAGCGCTACTTTTATGAAGCCCGTTTATAAAAGCAAATTGTGCCATTTTTAAATAGCACACTTGAAAAAGGACGTGAGGAGGACAGTTTTCTAAGAGAAAGGAAAATTATAGAGTGACGTGGTCTCACCAAGTTTCCGTGCTCCTTCGTAATCCTAAACGAAATCCTAAGACAAAGTAGTACAGCAGTAGTGATAGCTGTGGAAAGTAATAACATTTGTCAGACCACGCTCAAAGTGCGTACGTGTTTTGTGAAGGTTGTTAGCAATAACCTGAACGGGAAGTCGTGGGCAACACCTGCAAACTCCTCTCAAACAACCAATAATAATCCTAAGTAAAATAGTCATTACAGCGGTCATATCACTAACTAGCACACTTTAGTTGCTTAACATAAAGCCCTACGTGACAATAAAAAATACCGGAAACTCAACATAATCATGGTAAACAAGTTTTATTTCCTGCCACTGTTGTCGCCCCAGTTTCGTTTCACTGATTTGCCGGACATAACTAGGCTATTGTACTCTACGCCAATGTCGTTCTATTATACTAAACACAATGATCTTTCACACACGTTTTTAAAAAGATTGAAACTACTATGAGGTGAAATTGCATCTCGAAAGCCTTTCGTTTTCTTCAGATAACAGCCGAACATCAAGATTGTCCATTCTTTTAGCGTATTTCTAACCATAAAAACTTCATCCCAAAATATCTCGATAACGCTCTTACAAATATTGCTTAAACTTCACGAACATCGAGGCCTCTATTGGAAGAAAAAGCTCCCGTAAACGATTTTGGAAGAACAGTTCCCAGTGCCGAGAAAAATAGGTAATAGCGTCATTTCGTTGCCACGACAACTCCGATGTCATTGCAACGTTAATCAAAACAAATTTTCATCTTTATCTGATACAACTGTGGCGGCAATTTTTCACAATCTTTGTTTATAGTGACGTAGTTTAGTCAAACTTGGGAGTCAAAAACTGTATCGAGCCACCTTAAGCCTCTGTCAGTAACGGCTATCAACCCGCTTGATACATTCTAAAAACTGATGGCGAAGGAAAATACAGTAATGATACCGATTGTGTAATGATCAGTAATGCCGCTCCCGTCGCCTGTTTAATTGTTTGTTTTAATGATGTTTCCGCTAATTAACCCTCGGACGTACACGCAAAGTCATACCCTCACGGTGGTACAAGGAGGGGGGGGGCGGGGTTTTAGGTTTTTGGTACGTTGCGATATTTCAAAACGATTTTGCCTTTAGTGGAAAGCCTTTGATCTTCTCTACAAGATGAGTTATATTTAGGGGTGGTGGCGCTGCTAGAGGTCTGTGACGTCACCAAACATGGTCGCCATCTTGGATTTCATCAAGCATAAGAAATCAGGTAAAACAAGAGAGAATGAAAACAGTGAGAATTAATAATTTTTTGCTTTTAACAGGTAAAATAACACATTAATAATTACTTTTTTGATTACATCATTTCATCCACAAGTTTTACTGTTACTCTTGAAAAAAACGAAACAACATGTATTTTCACTCAAAAATGGCTTGACCACCTGCACTCCTACTTATGACGTCACATCTCGTAACCATAGTAACTGACCATCACTAAACTTCTCTCAAAATGTGCGCGAAGGATAAACGAACAGCTATAGAGAAAAAACAGCTAGGAAAAAAATCAGAAAAATCTTATGGAGGGTTGGCAACCACAGACCCCCCCCCCCCCCCCACTCCCGTAAGTCCGAGGGTTGAGATTTAACCAATCGTTGAGCGGCCACCTGCCGGTGCCCCGAGTGTGGGCGCATGGAGGTTCAACTGTGCGCTAAAATAGTATTTTCAACTGACCTAGATTCAAAGTTCCAAAAGGGTTTATTCAAACCTTACTGAAATTGTTCTCCTTTTTAGGGGAGTGGGAAAATGGAGAGCACGAAAAATGGAATGATCCCAAGACAGTTTAAAACATGTTCTGTATCCGTCTGTTGTATCAAATGGAGGTAGGTATGGTTTACCATGTTTGGCTAGTAGTTTAGTAAAGAGATGATTATTACTAGATCCTCGTATCCAGGTATTTAATGTCTT